GTGCTCACCTTGGCTCAGAACAGGGTGTCTCCGTTCAAAGGACTCTGCCCACCTTGAGCCCTTGGGGCAGCATCCAGGCTTCACAGCATCCTGGCAGGGCTTCTAATGGTTGCAGAGCTTGGAAAAGGGGTTTAAATGACATCCCCCCCAGAACCCTCCAGCAAAGAAGCCTGGCTGTTGGGGACCGGGAGTGGCCGTCTGCTGCGTTTGCCAGGGCACGATGGGCCCCAGGCTGGTCCTGCAGAGCAAGCCAGCGAGCATCCTTATCCCAACAGGGTGGGAGAGCAAGGAAATGCTAATGAGGGAAGACCCAGCTGGACCAGCCCTCCGCCTTCTTCTTGCGCTGGGGGAGAGAGAGGGGGGGGGTGAAAGCCTGCGCCTCGGCCAAAACTCTCCACCTCGAAACAAAGCCGGCGATTCTGCCTCCCAGCCTCCGAATGGGGCCACGGCCTGTTTTCCGTCGATGGCGTGCCTCGTCCATTGTCCCTGAGCGGGCCTGGAAAAAAGCGTGGCATCTTGCACGGCTGTTTCATGGGGCTTTCATGAGGGACACCCGCCTCCTTTGATGGCCATCGACCGAACAGAAACAGTGACGCTCCTGTTGTCTGCTGGAGCTGAGGTTTGTTCTTCTGTCTTAATTCATTGTGAGGGACTGGCAATCCCTGGAGAGAAAGACTCTTTTTTTTTGGAAGCTTTCTACAAAAGTATATTGACATGCAGTTGTTTATTCAGGGCCCTCCGCGGTGACATAATTCAACCCCCCCCCAAGTATTAAAAGCCTGCTATTGATTCCCTGGTTTGCTGGCTCAAGGTTTCCAGCTGAAATACACCCGTGCCTTGTGGGACGAGCGATGCCCCACGCCCTGCCGAAGCAGAACTGCTCAGGAGTGTGTGTGTGCGCGCTCGCTCTCTCTCTCTTTCACACTTTTAAAAGCTGGTTTACTCTCTTGCCTTTTAGGGCTAAAAACCTCTTTGTCCTTGGGCGTCCTCAAGAGCTTCCAGCGCCCTATTAGCTGGACAAGAGCTGTAATCAAAGGGCTCGTTTCTGTAGACCCCAGTGGTGGCCCATGTCTAAAGCGGGAGGACTCCTGCGCCTGCTTAACCTGGTGAATTCCCGTCCTCTTCTCACCTGGCAGATATACTCTGAATTTTTATGCCCACTACTATAAAGATGGCTGCCTTTTTATTTATTTGATGAAGGCATCGTTGGAGGGAGAGCCTCGAGGCGAGCACCTGCTATACATGTTTAACAGGATTAGGAAGGAGCTGATGAAGGAAAACCCGGCCTCTGCCCTGGGACCTTCGAGAGTCACCCACGGCCCGGACGGAGTGTCTTGGCAGGGGGCAGCCGTGTGCGTTGGGCCCTGGCGGAGCGAACCTCATCTGGTGCATTTTGGGATTCTGATATTCCGAAGGGAAGGCCGCGAGAGACCACCCCCAACGGGCCCAGGGGGCTGGGCTGGGCTGAGCGGAGGCTTCTGGCTAAGATGGGAACACCTTCCTTCCGCTGTCTGAACAGATCGGCACTTAAACCTGTTGAGGCGGCAAGCTGGCGCCAGTTTCGTCCGCTTCTTCTCTCGTGCTTTCAAAGGGATCGCCTTACATTTGCCAAGGAAAAAGGAGATGGCATTTCCTCTGGACGGAGTGCTGTCGGAGATGGACCGAAGCGTCGTTTGTGCAGGAAAAGGACAGGAGGTGGCTGCCTTCTCCAAGCACAGACTTATTCGTTCGGGTAGCTTTCTGGGGTGGCCCACAGCCTGCCTTCTGCTCCCCTCTTCTTTCACTCACGGCCCACAGTAGCTGCCGGCTGCCTAGCTTGAAGGCCGTGTTTCTTGAATCTATCTATATTTAATGAATCTGATGTGACCGTTGCACTTTCAGGAACACCAAAGGTGGCCGAATACAGCCGAGAGATGTCTTTCTTTATAGATTTGCTCCTGCAGTGTTTCTGTTCTCTGCAAATTCATTTTTTTATATATAAAGGAAAAGTGTTATTTCCATTAGCATCATTCCATCAAGACGTGGAAATGATCTTTGTTTACTTTTTTTAAAAAAAATCTGCTTCAGGGGAATAGTCGTTTATAAATTAAAAATACGTGACACCCTAGAAGGACATCAGAGTCCTTTTAGAAGGACCTGCTTCCCTCACCAGCAGCTGTGTGTTTTCTTTGTTCGGACTTGGCGGTAGAGTTCCTTGTGTCTTTGGCGAAAGCCCTTTTTAAATCTTTAACGGCGCTGCCCTTGCCGTGCAGAGGTAGAGTTCGGTCGAGAGGTGCAGGCTTTCCCGTCGGCTCCACTCCCTTCTGAGGAGGCGCCTCTGTCCGATAGGGACAGGAGAAGGGGAAAGAAGATAGCTATTTGCAGGAACCAGGCCAAAGTGCCTGGCCTGACAGCCGGCCGGCCTCTTCCACGGTCTGTTTTGTGGCCTTGAAAAAGAGCCTTTTGTTTCCTTATTTGGGAAAAGTTTGGAAGGGAGCAGCGCCTGTTGAGTCGAGAATCCCTTGATCCAGCCAAGCACGGTGATCTCCGGAAAGGGCAAGCAGAGGTCTGGGGTGTTTCAATGCTAGAGAAACAGGTGCCTCCCGCCTTCCTGTCACTCTCAGGATGGGACCCACCTGCCCTTTGCTTCTTTCCCTGGACTTCCGGTGCATCAGGCAGGGGCGGCTGCCCACCAGCTCAAAATCTGAGCATGGAGAGGCTTTTTTTCCCGCCTACCGGGTGTGTTTCCTTGGCATCTTTTTCCTGGGAAAGGGTGCCACCCACCCGGCAGCTGGCAGGAGGTTATGGTAGGGCTGCCGGGCCAGAGGACGTGAGCCGAGATCCTCCCTCTGCTGATCCTAATTCCCCGAAAGGCATAGGCATCTCCGTTTCGGCATTTAGGGTTTGGGCTTGGCCACCGTTCTGACATGGGATGTGGCGACAGGGGTGGGGCATAAAATGGAAATGCCAGGTTAGCCCTGGACTATTCCTGGGTGGATTCGAGGCAACACACCCAAGTTGGGGGGGGGGGACAGCCAAAAGCTCCGGTGGGTGACTCCGATCGAGCAGAAGTTGTTTTTAGGATCGTGGCCATCCCACAGGCTCAGGTGGCTGCCCCCGCCCCGCGCAAGAGGCTGCTTCTTCAAACCCACCCCATCCCGTTTCCTTGGGCAAGGAAGCAAGAGAGTTGGCGCAGGGCACCCCTGCCCAGCTGTTCCGTGTTTCTTTCTTAGCAGATGACTCGTGGCCCGTGTTGAACTCTGCTTCAAAAGTGGTGGCTCTTTTCTTTTCAACCCCTCCAGAAAGTGCCGGCTTCAGCATATTGTGTTGCTAAATCTCGCCTGACAGAATTGTGCCTGCCGTGGGAAAGAGGATGGGAGTCGGCCCTCGCCTTTCCCGGTCCCTTTGGCTGTGGGGTGATTACCCAGAGCGCTTGTGGCTGCCCCAGGCGGGGCCGGTGCTTCGGAAGAAGCGCCCCCCCCCCATCCCTAGCCTGAGCCCGGGCAGAGCGAAAGGGGGCAAGATGCCCCGGGGAAGCTTGAGCCTCCACCTTTTTCCTCTCAGGGCTGCGAGAGCTTCTAAGCTCCCTGCATATCCATTGCCTCGTTCCTAAGGAAAGGGCAGATCAGCGCAAGAAGCGATTAGCAGCATGACGCCCGGCCGGGTGTAATCCTCTCCGGAAAGCCAAAAAAAGGGCAGAGCTTTCGATCCTTGACTCGACTCCGCTGGGGTGGCGCAGCCTTGTTGCAAGGCAGGGAAGGAGAACTTTCCTGAGCTGGGAATACTCTTCTCCTCCATATTTTGGGGGGTAAGGTGGGAGATTTTTTTCCCCCCTTTGGCCATCACCTGCAATAGGCAGGGGCTTCTGTGCCGTTAGGGCTGGACGGAGGAGAATCAGAGGAAACACCAATAGATTTGAGGGCCAGAATGGTGAGGGAACTTCATATCTTGTGGTTCTGGCAGATTGAATAAAACCCTTTGGTGTTGGGCTGTTCTGGTGTTTGCCTTCTGCGGCGGCAGCTGCGTTCAGAGGTGAATCTGGATTACCTGGTCTTGTCTGGAACGCTGGCCTGATTGCCATTCGGCCACTGCTCTAAGCTGCCTGGTGAACTGAGCAGCCCATGCATGAGGCTTGGCCGCTTTGAAATCACAGTCCCGCAGCCACCACACTCCCCTGAGATTGTACCCCTTGTCGTGTGACCTGCAGCTTCTCAGTTGCTGAACTGGATCTTGGCGCTGCCTTAAGAATGCAGGGAGAGCAAGTGTGGTTGCAGCGCTGGACTTGAAGTGGATGAAGTACTATTGCAGAGTGATGTGTTTTCATCTTAACCTGCCTCGCAGAAGAATCCAGAGGGAAACAGCTGAGATATAATATATACACATGCTGAACACCCATCTCAATGTATTAAATATTAGCCAAGGTTTCTTAAGTCATTGTCAAACTAATGAAGTTCCTCACAGTGTTGTTGAAATGAAGCTCTTCCCCCCCCCACACACACAACTATGGCTACTTCACTCAACTCCCTAGGACCTGAGGGGTTAGAAATAGTCCATGCAGAAGTTGAAGCCTCTCCCCCCTCCCTGTGACTTGACTCGTCCTCTCAGGCAGTTGAAATCTCCCGGATTCTCTGCCTCCCCCTGCTTGGTCCATTGAGAGGAAAAAGCTTCGAGGCTTCAGCCTCAAAAAGCCCAAGGCAGTCCCTGTTGTCTCCCTCCCGTCTGCATCATCAGGTGGAGAACAGCTTTCCTGACATCTGTTTCACTCCATCCATGCGCCTCTTTTCCTGTGGAACAAATGCGTTTCACACTTTCCTCTGTGGCCAGAACGGTAAAAAGGAAGCCAGCGTCAGCCAAGCACGCTGCATGCCGAGAGGACTCTCTGTCCGGTGTCGCAGGCTCCCACGCCCCCCACAACCCCATGGAGGGCACGGTGCATGGCTTCTGGAGTGGGGCCTTCCTGGAAGAGAACGCTGCTTAATTAATGCCCCCTTCCCTCCCTCTTTGTTTTCCTTGGCTTGTAGTGAAATATATGAAGGAAGCAAGCCCTTACATCAAGAAGCCGTCGCTGGTGTCCGACTTGCCTTGGGATGGGGCGGCTCCCCAGTCGCCCAGTCTTAGCAGCAGTGAAGACTCTGGCTCCCCCAAACACCACAGTCCCACCAAGGACCGGAAGGTGATCCCTCTGAAGATGTGCTATGCAGCAAGAAACCTAAGCGTGCCGGACCTGGAGAACAGGTGAGCCTGGTTAAAAGTCTGAGCCTGCAGCTCCAGTTCAAATCATTCTCAAAGTCTGACTCTCCCTTTATGAACCTGCCCAGGTGTTAGGATGGTCAGGGGAGGCCTTCCTCTCTGTCGCTGCTCCCAGGCTGTGGAACTCCCTGCCACTGGAGGCCCGGCTGGCCCCATCTTTGCTGGCCAAGCCCCTTTCTGATCAGTCAGGCTTTCCCTTAGCATCTAAGGGCATCTAACAGAGGGCTTCAAAATAGGATGCTTTGGACTTTTGCTCCTTTTTAATCTGTTTTAGTAATGTTTTCATCTAATATGTTCAATATAACATTATTAATCCATAACATTAATATTTATGATTTAATATTTGAAGAATTCTCTGTTTTTAGCTTTCATATTTGCAAGACACCTAAGATCCTTTCTGAGGATAAAGATGAGAGTCAAAATGGTTTAAATCAACCCATCATCCAGCCAGTCAGTGGGACCGGGGGCGAGAGATTTCCTCTGGCAGGGGATCGCAAGAGGCATCAAGGCCCCCCAATAGGCCAATTCGCTCCCAAGGCCGAGCCAAGAGAGGCCCCTGCAGGATACGTCCCCTGGCGCTGGTGACCTCCACGTTGCTCCGTTCTGGAGCTGAGAATGGGCTGCAGCAAGCGAGCGTGCGCGCTCTCTCCTCTGCCAAGAAAAATACTTGCGCGGCAGCTCAGAATGGATAACGCAGATGGACAGAAATATTTTAGATTCTGGTTTGGGTTTTGCCCCAACGACCGCGTAGGGCTGAGACGGGACCTGCAAGCTCGCTGGTCAGGAACCTTCCGATGTCCCTTCCGCGCTTTCCCAAAAAGCAGCCTCCTCGTGTTTCAGGGTGGGAGAAGCGGCGCCCTTCAAGGACTCCGTCCCCCATGTTGCCCTCAGGTTTCTTATCTCCTGAGGTCACATCAGAACTTGGAAAAGTTACTCTTTTGTGGGGGGGGGGGAGAGAGAGCTCTGGGGATGGCCTCCCACACACGCAACACACACACCCCGCAGCTGTGGCCGGGCTATCTCAGAGATTGGGGGAGTTTTCAGCCCTGCAAATAGTTTTTCCAAACTCTGGAAAGAATACAAGAGTGATAAGTGTATCTTCTGTGTCTCCGAGAGCGCAACCTACGGGCTTCCACCGCCTTGGGCGTCTTGCCTGCAATACCCACAACCCCGTCCCGAAGTGTAGGGGGGTGGAGGTCAGCAGTGACTTCACCGGGTGGCTAGCACTGGCTGTGGCCCTTAGCCAGGAAGGGGGGGGGCGCCTCCTTGTGAAAAGGCAGGGGAGGGGCTCTTGAGCTGGCCGGCATGTTCCTGCATTCTTGCAAAGGGTCCCTGCCTCCTGCCTGCCCACCTAACACCTCACCCGCACCCCCACCGCCCCCAGGAGATCAAGCTGTGCTCCTTTTGGGTGTCCACAGGAAGCAGGCTTAATCCAGACCCTGGCTCCTTTCCTGGGAGGGGAGGGGAGGCGAAATTTGGAGCTGGGCCACACGTGGACGGACGAGGGAGGAAGTGTCTGCTCATCCCCCAGTTCCTTTGCTGGGTATTGAGTTTCAGCCAGCCGGAGGAGAAGCAGCAGCAGCAGCACCAGCTCTGGGAGGAGGAAAGCAGGGCTCCTCAAAAGGCACACGTCCAGCAACATTGGGAGTGCTGGGGGGGGGGGGAGGAAGGCACGGTTTCAGGGCTTGGATGCTGGAGCTGCAGCCGGCCCCTTCTGACCTGATCAAGGTCACCTGCTCTCTCTCGTAAAGGCAGCCAGGTGCAGCTTGCAGTACCTGCCCGGGCTCATGCCAGGCAACGGGCACTGCGGGAGGACCTTTCTGCCCCAGCAGATCACTCCCTGTCTGGGCTTGAACCTCCCTTCTATGCCGGTAGCCCTTCACGCTCACCCTACCGTGAACGGAGCAGCCGGCTTAGAAGCTTAAATACCGAGAAAAGGCTGCCTTAACCGAGAAGCCGGCCGCTCTGCAAACAGTGGGCGGGGCGGGAGTTCCCTGGCGTTTTAAAAAGCCCGCTCTGCTCATGGTCTCCTCCGCTCTTTGGCTCACCTCTGACCCGGCTGGGAGAGGGTCGGGACTGGCAGCAGCCCTGTCATGGGGCCGCCTGGGAGCAGGGCCTTTCCTTGGTTTGTCTCCAGAGCAAGTGGTCCGCCTCGATCACTTTGCAAGGGATGGGCCACCAGGGGCTCTCCAGCGGAGGGGGGGACGGGCCCTTCCGTGTGAGGGGCGCAGACAGAGTCCCAACATGGCAGACAGCAAGTGGTCCGCCTCGATCACTTTGCAAAGGACAGGCCACCAGGGGCTCTCCAGTGGAGGGGGGGACGGGCCCTTCCACGTGAGGGGTGCAGACAGAGTCCCAACATGGCAGACAGAGAGAGGGCATTTTGTGGCCAATGGCAGTTTCCTTGTGAGTCAAGCGGCACTGGAAGAGGTACCCTGAGGCTGGCTCAGCGAACAGGGAGATTCCACTCTGGGGATCAACAGGGCAATCCCTGGCTTGCCTTTGTGTTGTGCGTCCCGGTTTGGCCATGATCCGAACAGGAACAAAACTGCTAGAGGTGGCACCGCTGGCAAGCCAAGGGCTGCTGTGGGGAGCGTGCCTCTGTGTTATGAGGCGTATTTGTTTTAAGCGGTGTCAGAGAGAGAGAGAGAGAGAGAGAGGGCATTTTGTAGCTTAGTCCTGTGGGCCAATGGCACTTTCCTTGTGAGTCAAGCGACAGGGAGATTCCACTCCGGGGATCAGCAGGGCAATCCCTGGCTTACCTTTGTGTTGTGCGTCCTGGTTTGGCCATGATCCGAACAGGAGGTGGCACCGCCGGCAAGCCAAGGGCTGCTGTGGGGAGCATGCCTCTGTGTTATGAGGCGTGTTTGTTTTAAGCGGTGACTATTAACTGCTTTCACCATTTTTGAAATGTTTTTTGTGAGTTTCGTGGGGGGCGGGGTGTCTGCGATCATAAAACACGGACGGACGGACGGACAGAGGTCATTCTCTTAAGATGCAAGGGTTGGATCCACGCTCTTGCCGGCTGTCGAAAGAGCGGGATTCATATTGGCATTTCTTCAGAACGCTTGGCAGGCTGAAAGCTAGCGTTTGGCTTTTCTCATCCATCTCATCACAGAGATGAAGGCTTTGACACGGACGGACGGACGGACAGAGGTCATTCTCTTAAGATGCAAGGGTTGGATCCACGCTCTTGCCGGCTGTCGAAAGAGCAGGATTCATATTGGCATTTTTTCAGAACGCTTGGCAGGCTGAAAGCTGGCATTTGGCTTTTCTCATCCATGGTGGCAAAGCCTACGTATGTTTCACAGAGATGAAGGGGTGGGTGGGATGATGGGCTCCGTCGGTTTGTTCTGTGCCGCTTGCCGTTGGGCCGGTGGAACAGCCGGACCGAGCCTTCCAGGCGGCCCTTCTCTTCTCGGTTTCCTCCTCCGGCGGCCGCGCTGTATCCCAGCCTCCTTTCCCTGACAGCCGCGGAGGGGTGTCTGCCGTGGCCGACGCGACTGAAAGAAGGGCCTTTCCCACTTGGTCCCGGGCCTCTTGGGCTCCCAGCAGGAGTTGCCCTGGCAACGTTTTCTTCGGACAGCAACGCTCGGGAAATGTAAACACACACATACACGGGGGGGGGGGGGGGGCGCCTCTTTGGGAACC